CCCATCCAGCAGGGCCAATGAGTGGGAATTCTGGGTACTGCAGTCCAAACACATCTGGAAGGGAGAAGGTTGGGAAGGCTGCTATATGGTATTATCCAACCACAAGGTGGCACTGTGGTATAGCTACACTATGCTGGATTTATGACTTCTCACAAGACTTTGGTTGCAATTTAAAACTGAATACCACTTTCCTCGCACTATAAAAAGCAGCATAAAGGCTGGAAAATAATGGGGGATGCTCTGGAGGACAACAGCATCATGAAAAAGCCTCATACACCTCTATGGGTGAGGATCATGAATACACAATACAAAGTTTGGCATAGCCTGAAGTGTCCAATCCTGCTCAATCTTGAAAGCTGAGCAGGGTCGGGTTTGGTTGGCATCTGGATGGGTGACTTAAATGTTGTGAACCAACCACAGAGCATCAGGTATAGGTGATATAGAACTGTAATGAAGCCATATTCATAAAATGCCTCATGTAGAGAAGCCCCTAGAATAAATAGATTCCTCGAGGCAGATTTTTTTTCTTGTCATGTCTTTCTAAGCAGATGATCCTCTTAAGGCAGAAAGTTTAAAACACACCTGATTATCAGGGCTTCCATTAGGAAATCCATCTCATCCTGCTCAGAACAGATTTCTGGCAATGTCTGTGGAGAAGGAGAAGAAAAAACTATTGTTAGGATGGAGTGGGAGATAATGAGAAGGCAGAGCAGCTGAAGCCTTTTGCTAGAACGTATTTTTGTATGTAGGCTTTTTTTCTTTTTCTTCATTTTATTCTGCTTTTAATGCCCCCAAGGCAGCAAAGAAACTGAACTATAACAAGATGCAGAACCAAAAAACAAATCCTTAAAAATGACATGATTCTAGCTTTGATGTCCCCTGTTAGCATCTGATACTGAACATGAAATGTCCTGCAGTAGCCGTATCTGCAGCAAACCACCTTTCAATCCAAAATAGTGTGGATCGCGGCAGATCGTTAGTGGGAATGATGTGGGGGAGAGGGCCGGAGGGGAGCAATCTATATGTGCAAGTGAATTTTCAGAAAACGTTTATGCTCACCCACACAAAGGCTGGCTGCAGTCTGTCTCTACACATGATCGCAACAGAATAAAATAGAACTTTATTTCCTGTCTTCTGCCAGGTCATGCTGTACCTCTAAGCTAGGCTGACCTCACTTGTGCACATTCACGAAGCACAGGTGTGTTTTGCCCCCTTTCATCCCCGTGCCGATCTTCCCGTTCAAGTCGGGGATGGTTTGGGTTGTGGGCAGCAGGAGAGCATGTGCTCCTCTTTCTGCACCCCTCCCACTAGCCCCACTCCGCAGAGGAAATGGCGCATAATTGTTGCTGTATTTAACTGTTTGCATGCCCTTTCCTGCTGGGGATCATGGAGCTTGTAGCTCAAGTTCAGGATCCTTGGCAGCAAGCAACCCTGCACATAGACTGCCCCGGGAACAGCTTGCTCAGCTGCTTTGAAGGCCTCCACAGCCCGGTCTCCCTCCCTCAGATCTCTACAGCTGATTTTGGGGGGGATGTCGGGAACTGCAGAGGGTGGGGGGAAGTGGTGAGAACAGCTTCTTCCTCAGTTCCCTCCACAGGACAAGTGCTGCATCAAAGGCAGCCTCCTGCTGACCAAAGGAGCCCTTCATCTGCGGGAAGCTTTTGCTGCATCTGGCATAAGGGCCTGCCTTGTTTTTCTGCCACTACACGTGGCAGTGGTGCAGGGTGGGGGTCCGAAGTGGCTTGCTATTTCATATTGTCTGCAATTGCTCTGTGAGCTGCCTTGATGGATATTGGAGTGGAAAGGCTTGTTAAATTCTCCGGAAGAAAGGAAAAGTGGATTTCGGACACAAACCTTGATTGCCACGCGCAGAGGGCTGGGGTCTCCTGTGATTCCTGCCGCCGTTCCTTCGTAAACCTCACCGAACGCCCCATGTCCCAGGGCCCTGCAGGGGGAGACGGAGCAGGGGAGGGAGCATGAGCCTGTGCAACCCCCATGTCTGTGCTCTTCTCTTCCAAAAAGTAGGGAGAAATGGGTCATCGATGCACACTTGGCTTCCTTGTGGAGAGAGCAGCAGAGCCTCACGCTGCTTTGGGCTGCTTCTTTACACACACACAAGGTAAACATCAGGGCTCAGGCAAACTTCACAATGGCACTAGATGTTCAGCAGCCATTTGCAAAGAAGCAGGCGGTGATGCGCTTGGGGCTCGCCAGCCCATTCCAACGTGTCTCTTCTAGCTGTCCCAAAACTTACATAGAAACACAGGACAAGTCAGAAGGGGTCCCCCAGACCATCTAGTCTGACCCCCGGCTCCAGCCAGTTCAGCTCATGTAATCCCCAACAGGTGGTTCTCCAATCTTTCCTTGAACACCCCCATTGATGGGGCCTCACCCACGTCCCTTGGCAGCCCATTCCATATCCTAGGGGTCCTAACCATCAGGAAAGACCTCCCGACATCCAACCTGAAGCCTGATTCCTTGAGCTTTGCCCCACTGGAATGTGTCTGGCACTCCACTGCAGGGAAGAACAGGTCATGGCCCTCCTCCACATGACATCCCCTCACATACCTATTAAGTTGCTAAAAAATCCCCCTGGAGCTTCCTCTTCTCTGGGCTGAAAAGACCCAGTTCCCTCAATCTCTCTTCATATGTCATCCCTCCCAACCCGGCTACCATTCTTGTGACCCTGCACTGGACCAGTTCTAACCTAGCTATGTCTCTCCTATGATGTGGAACCCAGAACTGGATGCAGTACTCCAGTTGTGGACACACCAGAGTTGTGTAGAGTGGTGGGAACCACACTTCTGAAAATATATCCAAGGGTGGCATTTGCCTTGTTAACTGCTGCATCACACTGCCCACTCATGTTCAGCCTGCTGTTGACAAATACCCCAAGATCCCTTTCACAAGTGCTGCTCTCCAGCCACTTGTCCCCCCTCCTGCACCTGTGACACCTATTCCTGTGTCTTGCACTTTTATCCACACGGAATGCCATCCTGTTGTCACCCGTCCACTTCCACAGCCTGTCCAGATCCAGAGTCTTCTGGATCTAGATCACCCGCTCCTCAGCTGTGGCCACTGCCTCCACTTTAGTGTCATCCACAAAATTGGTCAGCAGGCTGGTTATCCCCTCCTCCATGTCATTTATAAAAAGGTGAACAGAAGTGGTCCCAGAACTCAGCCCTGGGGAGCTCCACTCCTCACCGGCTGCCATCCCGATGATCCCCTGATGACTTACCAGAGCATGTATGTGAATGAGGGGGTACGTGATCAGAAATCCCTTTAGGTAGTGATCAGCAGCTATTATACACTAGTAGACAAGCATTTTCAGCCAGGCTTAGAAATAGCAGTGCGCTTTCAACAAGGTATCTCCATCTATTCACTAGAAATCGTATTGCACTGTGGTGCAAAAATGCACCTTGAATCTCCTTACCTAATCAGAAGACAAAGGCCTTTTATGCCAACACTTCTGGAGTTATATGATATATAAAACAATGCCAATTGTTTTCTCCATAGTATGAGGACAGACCTGTTATTTTAATACTTCAGTAAAAAGATTCAGTTGAATATCATCTGGGATACTATCAGCCTCTGTGTGATTGTTTCCTAAATGAAGACCATCTAGGGACCATCTGAGGACCTTCTGTTCAGAAGACCATCTGTTGGTGTGTGATAGGCCAATCATGCGGAGGCCTTTTGCTGCTCTAACCACTGCTCCACTGTCTGTAACACGAGAGCAGGGCACTTCTCCACCCAAACAGCATCCTACACATGTGGAAGCAGCACCTGTGTAGCACACTACAAGGCCAAGCCATGCCTTAGGGGCTGCTTCTGTGTGGCTGGATCCTGGACTTCTCTGGTAACATCTAAGGGGAGGAAACTGGGTGGCACATGGGACAGGCATGGCTCCTTCTCCTGCCAGCACCTCCTCTGCCCACAGAAGCTGATTGTGGGCAATGAACTCATGATCAGAGAACCTAATCCTAGGCTTGTTGTTTCATTAATTCAGCAGAAGACTGTTGAGGAAGAGTGACAGTGGGGAGAAACAGAGGGAAACATGTCCATGTTGTAAAGGTATTTTTGCCCTAGAATGAAAGGCTTAAATAAAGCTATCAAAATGTCAGTCAATTATCCAAGGAAGGTTCTCTGCAGAAATGCTAAGCAACAGGAAAAGGTGGCTATCTGTGCTCAGAGTGAGCAATTTTCTTGAAAATGATGTTTGGATTGAATTCTGACATGCACCCGGCAGGGCTTTGGTTTGTGGGGCAGATATCCACTGTTACAGAGTATATGCACAGGTAGTTGTGGGCTGGTGAGTGTAAGAAGCAGTGTGTTGTTTCCATTCCATCTGCTGAAGGTTTCAGGTGTGTTACTTGCAGCATGTATTACAGACTCAGAGTTGGCCTTTTCAGCAACCAGATGACATGCAATGAAAGTCAATCCACAAAGTCAGTCTCCAAAGAACAACCCATCATCTCACAAAGCCAGCTTTGGAAAATATCAATGCAATGGGCAGGTCTTGCAAACAGTTGGTCTAGAACGCAATCTTTAACAAAAGCAAGGTTTTAACCTTCAGTGCTTGAAAGACGGAAAAGCTGAGACTTTTTAAAAAATTGCTGAACACAAGGACACCAAGCCAGCATGTGAAGCTACTGAAATTAAAATTTTCTCCCTCTGTTCCAGATCTGACTCTACGGCTGAAGGAAGGAACACCTGCCTCTCCAGCAGCCAGCCTGTGAGCTGAGACCTGACCCATGGTTCCCTTCTGGGTGCCCCCGCCCCCCAACAGGAGAGAGAGAAATGGCAAGTGAGAACATTGGTGGTAGCATCTTGCTTATGGAATTCTCTTAAGCAGGCTTGCCTATGCTTTCTCAGTGTTAGTTAACCCACCCCCTTTATTCCCTCATTCCTTCATTCTTTATGCATTTGGTGTCCCAAGCGTTCTCCTTTATCTAGCATCTGGAGAAAATGACACTCAAATCTTCAGAGACATCCCTGCATGGTACAGGCAAACAAAAGATGCATTGAAACAAAGTTAATGGGGATTTGCGGTCCTAACCAAGGAAATAACTGTGTCCAATGAGAAAACTGTTTGTTTTTCCCATCAAGGCATTTGTTGTGGAAGAAGTGCAGAATATCAGGCATTCTGGTTGGCTCACTGATGTCAGAGCCATTAGCATTAAAATGAAGTTGCCGTTTCTCCTGACCCAAAGCTATGCTTCCTCCTCCCAAACAGGCAAGAGTTCTCTGTCCTCAGGCACCACGTGTCTTACCGCAGCAGAGAGATGTTCTTCCGTGGGATCTCCTTAAGCTCGCTGAGTGTGGCAGCCTTCCCAGCAAAGCTGTAGTTGGGATTATAATCTGTCATGATGGTCGAAGTGCGGATTTTGCTCAGATTATATTCTGGGCTTTGCAGGCGGGCCCTGGCCCCTTCGAGTTGTCGCTGCTTGCGATGATAAACTACAAAAGAGCATGGAGAAAAGTAGCAAAGCAGAACAATTGGCAAAGCCTCCCCCCAGATGTTTCCCAAGGCATAATTCACACTGCTTCACTATTTACTATTAAAACTTGCTGTGTTTGGGGGTTAATATTTGCTAACGTTATCATGATTTTGGGGAAGAATCAGAGGATTGTGAGGCAGACCCTGATTGCCAGCCGTGGAGAAGCATTCCAACCTTTGGGACGTGGGAAAAAATGCTGCAGGCGCACAGAAAGATCAGTGGCTGCAAGAAAGGTTGTGGGGCTTTGGCCTTTTGGTGAGCCCCAGAGGGACAGTGTGGACACTGGGAGGGTGACATTTCCTCTGGGAGCCTGGAAGTCTGTACTTATGTACTGTGACTAAGGCAGAGGGGGTAGATATACGGTGAAAGGAAACAACTTTAATTCCTGGGGGAAGAAAGGTAACTGAGGTTCTATTTTGCAAAATTTTAAGTAGGTTGTGAATATGTAACTGTTCTGTGGAAAAAAGCTGTAGCACACAAACATGGCAAAACAAAAACCCACACTCTTAAGGCTCACTTATTTCTTTTCTCTTTGCTTCTCTAATTTCCTTGGAGTTTTGGGGGAATTTATGAGCCTTTTTCAAGAGTAAGCCATCCTGAGGCTTGTGCAAAGGATGGAGTAAAAATGTTGTTCATCATCATCAAAAGAATGCAGGGAATTCAGAACACATGGACTCGCTGATGTCTGTGGCTAATAGGATCTCTGTGGGGTAATCTGGATTGAGGCCACGGTGCAAAGGAAAGGCCTAAAAACACCCAAACCAGTGGATCTGATAACGAAGAAGAAAATTGTGTTTGAAGGTTTAATCACAAAGCTCCAACAAAACATCCACTTAGACCTGGAAGGCAAATTGATGTTTTGAGTGACTACTGAACACAGTTTACTGAATTATTTTTTATCCTAGAAAACAGTGACAAGAGCATACCATTTGCAGGTGTACGATAGCAAGCAAAGCATTTGCTCAAACAGTGTGGATTTACAATAAATACTTCATGTCACTTAGTTTTTCTACTCCGCAGCTCTTGGGCCGCAGATGCTGTATGTTGCCAGAGCATTTTGGGCTCTTTGCTAAAACATGCCACACTTTGGCTCCCTCCTCACATTTTTCTGAGTGACTTGCTCCCCAGAGACAACAAAGCTGTGTTAGTCCTATTCACTGGAAATTCTGAAACCAACCAGTCAACTAAGGCAAGGCTGGGCAATTGGTGCCCTCCAGACACTTGAATTACAGTTCCCATAATCCTTGCTTATTGGCCATACTAGCTGGGACTTATGGGAGTCACAGTCCAAAATACCTGGAGGGTGCCAGTTTGCCTAGCTGGGGAAATGCAATAGTGATAAAATTGCACATGTATCACAGTGAGGACTTCTGTCCCGAAAGAGAACCACAAAATATTTTGAATGAAATAAATCCATCTGGCATTCTTTAGTTATCCTTTCCCTTCTGACCCATGTGTTTTAGAGTGAAAGCCAGAGTGTAAGGGCTGTGCATGCATTTCCCAGCAGTTTGCAGAATACATTATGTGATTCTGATGCTGAAGATGCTGATGCTGCTTTCATTATACTGCATGGTTCCGTGTGACCAAAAGCAGCTCTTGTTCCTTTGAGGAGACAGCCACTTGCAATCACATGGCGTTACAGAGGGACTTGTGCTTCTGCAAATGGAAATCGGGATCCAGCAGAGGCGGTCCGTTGGAGAAAGAGGGCTGGGGCTCCACCCCTCCTGCTCAGCCGGAGGCCCCCAACCCCAGAGCAGCTTTTGAGGGGTCACAGGGAATTGGGGAAAATCACCCATCCTCTCTTCCTCCATGGAGTGCAAGTCCCAGTGGTTTTCCAGACACCTGCTTGTTGCTCCAATATTCACCCCAGAGAATACACATCCATACTCTGATGAGACCAGGAATGGGAACGGATGAATTCCTCAGAGCGGCAAAGCAAATAGAGGCTTCTTACCGACTGACAGGCTGCCGCATGTGAGAGCCATTCCGAGCACCACGGCAACAGCAATCACGGCCAGCAGGAGTGGGAGAGGCAGCGGTCCTTCTGGGATGGGCCCACGGAGGATTGCTTAAAACAGAAGGAATACATCTAAATATATCAGCACATACACACAACTCTTACGTGGTGTTTCTCAGAAAGTCCAAAGAGCCAAGCATTCTATTTCCCAAGCTGCCAACCATAGGATCCTGGAATGCTCCTTAGTACAGGGGTATCAGCCCAGCCAGCTGCTGCTGCTGGTTCCCAGAATCACTAACCAGATGGTCTGTGGAGATGGATCTACTCACTTTAGCTGCCAGCCATTGATATGGTTTCACAAAGGAACGATGGCACCCAGGTGGATCTCCTGGTAGGCCATGGATCCTGACATAAACTGGAGAATGTGGGAAGATCTAATGATAATGAGACTGAGGCCCCATTGGTGAGGATGTTCAAAGATAGGCTGGACATGTACATGGTGGGCATGTCGTGAGCGGAGCCGGCTGGAGCCGGGGGTCAGACTAGATGGCCCAGGAGACCCCTTCTGACTCGCTCTGTTTCTATGTTTCTATAACTGATAGTCACATACTGCTGTGAGACAAGCACAGTTATGAAATAGATGAAATAATGAATGCCCCAATGCATTCTTCATTTTCTTAGAAGATGCATGACTGGTATCTCAAGGAGGAATTTCCTGACTAGACAGTGCACCCAAAGTTATGGCACAATGTGGAAAATAGTGAGCAACTGGAATTAACAATATAAGAAGAGGTATGCTGGATCAAATCAAAGGTCTGCCTAGTCCAGAAAGTTGTCCCCACAGTGGCCAACCAGATATCTGAGGGACCTGAACGCAACAGCTCCTCAGCACCTGTCACAAAGGGGTGTCCTGCCTTGGACCCTGCCTTTGGAGGTAAAACATGGTCATTGACGGCCTGCTCTTCCATGGACGGTCCTCTAGGTCATGGGTATTGGATTTCTAGTCGCTGTCTGGTATCTAAGAGTGCTGCAGCAGTGCTGAGAACCACATGTTAGATTTGTTGGTGTGCTGGCAACAACGCAGAAAAAGACATAAGAGGAGAAACAGTTGTGTAGCATGGGCCCCCTCAGAAATACAATGACAACTCATCAATAAACCTTTTTAGAAATCTTAGGCTGTGGAAAGGTGCTGTCCAAGAAAACCACACTATTCACCCTGGAATCCTAGGAGATCTAAAGCAGATGTGGGTGCAAAGAGATCCTTCACTTCCACCAATATTCCATATCACAGTATTCTGTACATCATGAATAAAAATATTTTAACGTAGGCACTTGCATCCAAGCCTGAGGCTGCTTACAATAAGCATGATCATATTTACAACTGTACTTAGAGCTGTAAAAATACAACACAACATAAGCAAAATGAAAACAACACCTTCAGTCTAAAGCTGCTCAGTTTTGAGAGCTCACTGGGGAAAGAGAATTATTATTAACTCAATTAGGTGGCATATCAGGCTTGGATCAGGATCTACTCTGATGTACAACCTGATTTAATAATAATGCAATCAGGTGGCATGGAAAGCTGAGGCTGTGGAAAGGAGGAGAAAATTCAAAGAATTCAGCCAAGTTCAGCAGTTTAGATTTGTACATACTTATTTAATCTGTTCCTGGTGTGCCAAAGAGAAAGCAAACGTAGAAACATGTTTTATTCAAGGAAAGTGTTTCAGGTTTTTACCTGTGCATGACACATTGTCGCTAGCCAAGATGGCCCCGACTGCACAAATACAGGTTGGTAGGTGAGTGTCAGGATTTTGCTTGCAGATCCCAGATTGGCAGTGATTGCAATTCAAGTATACTTCAATCACTACTTCGCCATGGCTTTCCATAACTGAAAAGGAAGGACATGGATGGGAAGTAGACTTTAGGGAGACTCACATCTCCAACAGCCAGGTGTACTTGCAATCCACTAGAAGAACAGGCGGAACTAGTACGAGGAA